TGAAAGGGTCGTTCAACCTCCAAAGGGGTCATGACCGGCAGGCTGAGAACTGCTGATTTACAATGAGGCAAGGATTTTATAAGAGAAATGGAAGGTAGGTAGACTGTCTTTTGAACAGCATGGAAATGGAGGGGCTTTATTCCTGAAATGCCCATTTTGTAGCTTGTGCTAGTATGAAAAGGAGGAGGCCAGGACAGCCATGAAATGTACAGAGTTAACTTGACCCTGAACTTGAGCTTGAGACTTGATGGAAAGTGCTCATTAAAAGTGTTTACTTAGATAAAAATCTCTAACTACTACCTGGGTGATTTAGGGGGAAAGCACATTTTCTCAAAGCATCTCCAAAGGAGCAGAGCAGCAAGGTGGAAGCCACATTCTAGGATAACAGAAGGTGGAAGTAAAGAAGATGAGACTGACAAGGTCACTGTAGCTTAGCATGGGCCCGAAACCCAGAGGGGGGAATGGGAGGGGCACTGCTGTCAGACCTAATCTTATATTTTGGTGTCAGTTACTTTTCAATGAGGTGGCCAGGTGTGGTGGCTCACGCCTGTAATCCTAGCCCTCTGGGAGGCCGAGGCAGGTGGATTGCATGAGTTCTGGAGTTTGAGACTGGCCTGAGCAAAAGCAAGACCCCATCTCTATTAAAAATAGAAAAAATAGCCAGGTATTATGGTGGGCACCTATAGTCCTAGCTACTCGGGAGGCTGAGGCAAGAGGATCACTTGAGCCCAGGAGTTTGAGGTTTCTGTGAGCAATGACACCATGGCACTCTACCAGGGTGACAGAGTGAGACTCTGTCTCAAAAAAAATAAAAATTCAATGAGGTGTACAGCAGAGGAGGCAGGAAGACTTACATGCAGCTGTTCTAGTTTTGGGTACTAGGATAGAGGCGACAGAGACTATCCACAGTTTAGTGACAAATTAGACCTAAAAGGAGACAGTGGAAAAATTGGGGGTAGGAGGAGGGGGGCGGGGTAGGAAAGAAAGAACAGCAAGTCCTGAATCCACCAGGAGCTCCTGTCGTTCCCTCGGTAGTTCTCATAACTTTTCTCAGCCCCAAATTGCTCATCTGTAAAATGGGGACAGTTATTGCAACCTCCGAGTGCTACAGGTTATCAGATGAGATAAATATGAAGCAGGGTTGTCGACTGTAAAGGGCTAAACACACACAAGCTGTGATGACGATAACTAAGGATCACTGAATGTTGACTGTGACCAGCCAGTGTGCTGAGTGCTTAATGTGCCTTATTCCAAAGGCAGGCTATTGGCTGATAATAGTCCCCCAAAGATGTCTTCATGCTCACCCCAGAAATCTATAACAGCTATCTCATAGAGCAAAATCAACTTTGTAAATGCGACTAAATTAAGGGGGAGGTTATCCTGGTTTGTTTAGGTGCTCCAAATGTAATCACGGGGTCATTGTAAGAGGAAGGCAGGAAGCCGTGGGGTAGTAAATGTAACAAGCAAAGCAAGAGGTTAGAGTGACACAAGGAAGGGCCCACAAGCCAAGGGACATGGGTGGCTCTACAAGCTGCAAAAGACAAGGGAACAAATTTTTCCCCTGAAGCCCCTGAAAGGAACATGACCCTGTGAACCTATTTTAGACTTCTGACCTCCAAATGTGTGTTGCTTTAAGCCACTAAATTCATGGTCATCTGTTACAGCCACAATAGGAAACTAGTACAGGCCTCATCCCTAGAGGAGATGGATTTGCTTGGATTCAAATCTTGGCCCCACCACTTGCTTCATTCATGAAATGGAGATGGTAAGGAAATCCCTGCTTCCTGGGGTAACTGGAGGAATTACGTGAGAGGGTACGACATAGCACCCTTAGCCCAGAGCCTGTCTGGCATGCAATCAGCTGTCAGTCAGTGCTGGCAATTACTGGCAACATCTCATTTAATCAACACTAAAGCTCTATGACACCCGTGCTGTTATGTGGGTCACTATGAAAGTTTTGAAATACATAAGAAAACAAGAAATGTAAAATCCTCGCAGAGAGAAACAAATGAAGCCCTCCCAGCAACACCAATAAACTGAGAAGGTGAAGCTTGGATGGACAAATCAGAAAGGATGCAGAGGACTGGGTTTCTTGTTAGTGAGATAATAGGCCCTAACACCGTCTGTCTCAAAATTTTCATAAGGACCTCCATATCATCTCCATGTTGTAAAAGAAGGAAGTTAATGAGAGTAAGAAACTCACCCGTCATGGCAGAGGCTGTAAGTGGCAGAGCCAGACTCTAAACCAGGTCTCTGCTTCATGGCCCACGCTCACCACTCTGCTCTGCCACCTTGGGGTTAGAACAATAATTTCTCCATGGAGCGCCAGTTGCTTAGGCCAGGCCACAAGAACCAGAGAGAGCCCGGTGCTCCATGCATGAGCAAAAGCTGCCAAGACTAGAAATCAAATAAATCTGTGTTTATTAGAGAAACCGAAACTGTAGCTGCCCTAGAGATCAGCATCCAGAGGGTTGCCAACCCTTCTGACATCCCTGGACCGGTCAGCCCCAAGCAGCAAATCATGAAGGTCTGAGTACTGTGTTTAGTCATTTGGGCTCTGGAATAATTGCTATTATCATAAATGTTTTATAGCTCTCATTACAACTCACATTTAAATATCAGTGTAGTAATACATTAATAAGTCATTGCTGCCGGACCGCTGCCGGATGCAGTTACGGTTAAAGCCCTGCGTATCACTGTACTGTGCATTCAGCTAAATTAGAGCTGGACCGTGACCTCCACCTGGAGTTGAGTGGCTGGGCGTGGTCGGAAAGAAGGCTCTGCTCTGCAAAGGCTTCTTGCTCATCCCTTTAAGAGATAAGGAGAATGCTCAGATTTTTTGTCTGGAGGTCAGTCAACACCCCAACTTGGTATCCCCCAAGTCGGGCACCCAGAACTCTGAGATGGGTAGGAGGGGAAAGGAATGCTTTACTTTTGCCCTGGAAGCATTTCTACTCCAGTGAAGAAGGTAGGGGTGCACAGACCCCACCCTAGGAAGCTCTCTGACAGGGCGCACAGCCTATTCCGATAGGAGTGACAAAGTCTTCAATGTCGTCTGATGAGGTATTTTGAAAGCTTTCTGGATGGACAGGGACAGGATGATACAACCCCCACCCCCGCCTCCACACACAGAAAAGATAAGCCACGTGAAACAAAAACAGCTAAGTAGATTCAACTTGATAAAATACCACATATCGACTTTGGTGAGTTAGTGCAGGCAGAGGCAGGCAGTGTGTATGTGATCTGTTCATTCGTCTCTATCACGCTGTATGCCTAACAGAGTGCCACACCCGTGGCAGGTGCACAATTAACATGGGAGGGAAGGAGAAAAACAGAATTAGGCCCAGTGCCTTTGTGTAAACACACTTCCTCCTGGCTACACAAATGATGAGTAAGCCCAGGGTGGGGGTGGGGAGGTTGAGGAATACTCTGGGGTGAGGGACTTCTGTCTCCATGGAGATTGGAGGCAGAAGGAATAGAAAAGGCCAGGACAGCAGTAGATTCACTCCACCAGTGTCACCGGAATGGAGCTTCTATTGACTGAGCACACGCTACTAAGCCTTTTACCCTCATGTGAGGTAGGTGCTGTGACCTGCTTCCTTCCACACGTACAGAACCTGTGGACGAGAGGTGTTGATAACTTGCCCAAGGCCACACAACTAGAGAATAGTAAGGCTTGATTCAAACCACACATGGACCAGGTTATGGGGCTGTAGAAATACACAAGATAGAAAACATGCCCGCCTTTGCATCGCTTATGCAGAGGACACCTGACAGGGAAGAGATACTGTCTTTACCACGAGCCCAGGACAGCAGAAGTCTGCTTGACTAAGGAAGGTTTCCAAAGAAAGGATCATTTCAGGGCCAGTGGAAGGCTAAGAGAAGACCGGAGGAATTGGGTTATTGAGATGTGGATGTCTGATGTGATCCTGGGAGAAGCAGAGAGAGATGAGCACTGGAACAAGCGGCCACTGGGAAGGGCTGTATTGGGCTCCCGCTCAGTGGGTCAGGTAGGGGGGTCAGAGAGCTGAGCACTAAGACCAGCTTCCCATATGATATTGTCTCTCGTGTGGGTCATTGATAAACTAACTGACCTGAAAAGACCCCCTGCTGCAGGATGTTTCCACCTGTGCAGATGGCTTCCTGGGCTGCTATGCTTCTCCTGGCCTTCCCTAGTAGGTCCCTGTGGAAGGGTCAGCCCAGGCTGGACTTGCTCGTGGCCTGATTTTATTCTTCAGCCTCCTTATTTCATTCTGGCTCATTTCTGGAGCTCACACATTTCTCCTCACTTCTCCCTGTTTGAAAGTATCCATCAGTGCTCACGTGGCACCATAGGCTTTCCATCACAGGCCTGGAGATGCACGAGAGAGGAGATGTAGAGACCCTGTCCTCACAGAGCTCACGGACTCCCAGGAGATAAGATGTGCTGGGAGACGTGGAAGATGCCTAGAGAACACAGACTAACCCATCCACGTGGCATCACGTGTGAGGTGATACACGCGGTGGACAGGACGGGGAGATTGTGGCGACAGAGTGCATAGAAGCTGTGGGCCTTGGCGAAGTGAGTTACCCTCTCTGTCGCTCACCCTCCTCATGCATAATACAAGGGCACCACCTTTGTAGATTTGCGTGTCTTTAAGCAAAATGACTGTTTCCATCTCCACAATGAGGGCAGTAATCCGTGATTGGCATCCTAG